CGTGATGTTACCACTGTAACAATGTGGAACACACACGGTGTTACTCATGCAGTCAAGATTTACACACGGCGGGATTTACCCACGATGTTACCCATGACAGGATTTACACCCGTTTTTGTCATTTAGGGTTTTACCCAAGATGTTACCCATGACAGGATTTACACCCGTTTTAGTCATTTAGGGATTTACCCACGCTGTTACCCATGACAGGATTTACACCCGTTTTAGTCCATTTAGGGCTTTACCCACGATGTTACCCATGGCAGGATTTACACCCGTTTTTGTCATTGAGGGTTTTACCCAAGATGTTAACTATGACAGGATTTACATCCGTTTTTGTCATTTAGGGTTTTACACAAGATGTTACCCATGGCAGGATTTACACCCGTTTTTGTCATTTAGGGTTTTACCCAAGATGTTAACTATGACAGGATTTACATCCGTTTTTGTCATTTAGGGATTTACCCAAGATGTTACCCATGACAGGATTTACACCCATTTTTGTCATTTAGGGATTTACCATAGATGTTACCCATGACAGGATTTACACCCGTGTTTGTCATTTAGGGCTTTACCCACGATGTTACCCATGACAGGATTTACACCCGTGTTTGTCATTGAGGGTTTTACCCAAGATGTTAACTATGACAGGATTTACATCCGTTTTTGTCATTTAGGGTTTTACCCAAGATGTTACCCATGACAGGATTTACACCCGTTTTAGTCATTTAGGGCTTTACCCACGCTGTTACCCATGACAGGATTTACACCCGTTTTAGTCCATTTAGGGCTTTACCCACGATTTTACCCATGGCAGGATTTACACCCGTTTTTGTCATTGAGGGTTTTACCCAAGATGTTAACTATGACAGGATTTACATCCGTTTTTGTCATTTAGGGTTTTACCCAAGATGTTACCCATGACCGGATTTACACCCGTTTTTGTCATTTAGGGTTTTACCCAAGATGTTACCCATGACAGGATTTACACCGGTTTTTGTCATTTAGGGATTTACCCAAGATGTTACCCATGACAGGATTTACATCCGTTTTTGTCATTTAGGGTTTTACCCACGCTGTTACCCATGACCGGATTTACAACCGTTTTTGTCTTTTGGGGATTTACCCAAGATGTTACCCATGACCGGATTTACAACCGTTTTTGTCTTTTGGGGATTTACCCAAGATGTTACCCATGACAGAATTTACACCCGTTTTTGTCCTTTAGGGATTTACCCAAGATGTTACCCATGACAGGATTTACATCCGTTTTTGTCATTTAGGGTTTTACCCAAGATGTTACCCATGACAGGATTTACATCCGTTTTTGTCATTTAGGGATTTACCCAAGATGTTACCCATGACAGGATTTACACCCGTTTTTGTCATTTAGGGATTTACCCAAGATGTTACCCATGACAGGATTTACACCCGTTTTTGTCATTTAGGGCTTTACCCACGATGTTACCCATGACAGGATTTACACCCGTTTTAGTCCATTTAGGATTTACCCACGATGTTACCCATGGCAGGATTTACACCTGTTTTGTCATTTAGGGTTTTACCCAAGATGTTACCCATGACAGGATTTACACCTGTTTTTGTCATTTGGGGATTTACCCAAGATGTTACCCATGACAGGATTTAAGACCGTTTTGTCCTTTGGGGATTTACCCAAGATGTTACCCATGACAGGATTTACACCTGTGCTTGTCCTTTAGGGATTTACCCAAGATGTTACCCATGACAGGATTTACACCTGTTTTTGTCATTTAGGGTTTTACCCAAGATGTTACCCATGACAGGATTTACACCTGTTTTGTCATTTAGGATTTTACCCAAGATGTTACCCATGACAGGATTTACACCTGTTTTTGTCATTTAGGATTTACCCAAGATGTTACCCATGACAGGATTTACACCCGTTTTTGTCATTTAGGGCTTTACCCAAGATGTTACCCATGACAGGATTTACACCCGTTTTAGTCCATTTAGGGCTTTACCCACGATTTTACCCATGGCAGGATTTACACCCGTTTTTGTCATTGAGGGTTTTACCCAAGATGTTAACTATGACAGGATTTACACCCGTGTTTGTCATTTAGGGTTTTACCCAAGATGTTACCCATGACAGGATTTACACCTGTTTTTTGTCATTTAGGGTTTTACCTAAGATGTTACCCATGACAGGATTAACACCCGTTTTTGTCATTTAGGGATTTACCCAAGATGTTACCCATGACAGGATTTACATCCGTTTTTGTCATTTAGGGTTTTACCCAAGATGTTACCCATGACAGGATTTACACCCGTTTTTTGTCATTTAGGGTTTTACCCACGATGTTACCCATGACAGGATTTACACCCGTTTTTGTCATTTAGGGATTTAGCCAAGATATTACCCATGACAGGATTTACACCCGTTTTTGTCATTGAGGGTTTTACCCAATATGTTACCCATGACAGGATTTACATCCGTTTTTGTCATTGAGGGTTTTACCCAAGATGTTAACTATGACAGGATTTACATCCGTTTTTGTCATTGAGGGTTTTACCCAAGATGTTACCCATGACAGGATTTACACCCGTTTTTGTCATTTAGGGTTTTACCCAAGATGTTAACTATGACAGGATTTACATCCGTTTTTGTCATTTAGGGATTTACCCAAGATGTTACCCATGACAGGATTTACACCCATTTTTGTCATTTAGGGATTTCCCATAGATGTTACCCATGGCAGGATTTACACCCGTGTTTGTCATTTAGGGCTTTACCCACGATGTTACCCATGATAGGATTTACACCCGTGTTTGTCATTGAGGGTTTTACCCAAGATGTTAACTATGACAGGATTTACATCCGTTTTTGTCATTTAGGGTTTTACCCAATATGTTACCCATGACAGGATTTACACCCGTTTTAGTCATTTAGGGCTTTACCCACGCTGTTACCCATGACAGGATTTACACCCGTTTTACTCCATTTAGGGCTTTACCCACGATTTTACCCATGGCAGGATTTACACCCGTTTTTGTCATTTAGGGTTTTACCCAAGATGTTAACTATGACAGGATTTACATCCGTTTTTGTCATTTAGGGTTTTACCCAAGATGTTACCCATGACAGGATTTACACCCGTTTTTGTCATTTAGGGTTTTACCCAAGATGTTACCCATGACAGGATTTACACCCGTTTTTGTCATTTAGGGATTTACCCAAGATGTTACCCATGGCAGGATTTACACCCGTTTTTGTCATTTACGGTTTTACCCACGCTGTTACCCATGACCGGATTTACAACCGTTTTTGTCCTTTGGGGATTTACCCAAGATGTTACCCATGACAGGATTTACACCCGTGCTTGTACTTTAGGGATTTACCCAAGATGTTACCCATGACAGGATTTACATCCGTTTTTGTCATTGAGGGTTTTACCCAAGATGTTACCCATGACAGGATTTACACCCGTTTTTGTCATTTAGGGATTTACCCAAGATGTTACCCATGACAGGATTTACACCCGTTTTTGTCATTTAGGGATTTACCCAAGATGTTACCCATGACAGGATTTACACCCGTTTTTGTCATTTAGGGCTTTACCCACGATGTTACCCATGACAGGATTTACACCCGTTTTAGTCCATTTAGGGCTTTACCCACGATTTTACCCATGGCAGGATTTACACCCGTTTTTGTCATTTAGGGTTTTACCCAAGATGTTACCCATGACAGGATTTACACCCGTTTTTGTCATTTGGGGATTTACCCAAGATGTTACCCATGACAGGATTTACGACCGTTTTTGTCCTTTGGGGATTTACCCAAAATGTTACCCATGACAGGATTTACACCCGTGCTTGTCCTTTAGGATTTTACCCAAGATGTTACCCATGACAGGATTTACATCCGTTTTTGTTATTTAGGGTTTTACCCAAGATGTTACCCATGACCGGATTTACACCCGTTTTTGTCATTTAGGGATTTACCCAAGATGTTACCCATGACAGGATTTACATCCTTTTTTGTTATTTAGGGTTTTACCCAAGATGTTACCCATGACAGGATTTACACCCGTTTTTGTCATTTAGGGATTTACCCAAGATGTTACCCATGACAGGATTTACACCCGTTTTTGTCATTTAGGGATTTACCCAAGATGTTACCCATGACAGGATTTACACCCGTTTTTGTCATTTAGGGCTTTACCCACGATGTTACCCATGACAAGATTTACACCCGTTTTAGTCCATTTAGGGATTTACCCACGATTTTACACATGGCAGGATTTACACCCGTTTTTGTCATTGAGGGTTTTACCCAAGATGTTAACTATGACAGGATTTACACCCGTGTTTGTCATTTAGGGTTTTACCCAAGATGTTAACTATGACAGGATTTACACCTGTTTTTTGTCATTTAGGGTTTTACCTAAGATGTTACCCATGACAGGATTTACACCCGTTTTTGTCATTTAGGGATTTACCCAAGATGTTACCCATGACAGGATTTACACCCGTTTTTGTCATTTAGGGTTTTACCCAAGATGTTACCCATGACAGGATTTACACCCGTTTTTTGTCATTTAGGGTTTTACCCACGATGTTACCCATGACAGGATTTACACCCGTTTTTGTCATTTAGGGATTTAGCCAAGATATTACCCATGACAGGATTTACACCCGTTTTTGTCATTTAGGGTTTTACCCAATATGTTACCCATGACAGGATTTACACCCGATTTTGTCATTTAGGGTTTTACCCAAGATGTTACCCATGACAGGATTTACCCCCGTTTTTGTCATTTACGGCTTTCCACACAGTGTTACACAAGGCGGGATCCATGAATGGATTGTCTCGCTCTATAATCCATGTCAGCAACATGAACACAGAAATGTCTGTATGGCTGATACAGTCATCCTAACGTTTTCATCAATGTTTCATTAGATAACCTAACTGAGTTAACACTAACCTTAAGACAATGAGAAGAAACACATTCTACTAAGCAACGAAAAACTTTATTGATAGTATTGATAGTAATCATACCACCTCGCTTAAGTCAGAGGCCGTGTTCCGATTGATGCGTTCGTTTTATATGGGATTGTTGGGCGCACTCCTGAAGTCAATACCAGCCTAACCGAACAAATATGAATAATGAAACTGTTGGAAAATAATTTATTAAATACAGTTGTGTGGTGTGTATACCAAAAGGGGAATGACATGAAATAACCAATGAAATGTTGCAATCGACAGGTACGAAGCTCATTGATTTAAATCAATTATATGCTGGAAATAAAATAGGCCTACACTATTGCGTATATTTGCAAAGGCACATTCTGTAAGGACTAACAATGTATTTGTATTATAAGCTGGACACACAGAGACAGACGGGGGCACTTCTGTCGAGCTACTTAACCAATCACAAGAACGGTTCCAGTAGCTCCGTAAAGCAATCCACCAATTATTGTCAATGCAAAAGACCAGCTCAAGTCATATCCCGTCGACACTTCTGTCGCCTTGGCAGCAAAGACGATGATTCCAACAATGGTAAATCCAGCTGCAAGACACGAACGTAAAACCACAAAACACGTAAATCAAAGAATCAAAGATAACATACCGACTATTCTATACAATAATACAACTTTCCACACAGATTCCCACTTACAGGCATCCAGTAACAATTATAAAGGTTCAAGATAAATCCTTCGAAATTCCTTTACATTTTTTTATTATATTTCATTCATATATAAATAAAATCACAAGTTACATGAATATTAGTCCTTTTGTATAATATTAAATGTGACGCAACGCAACCACCGCTTTGAAATCGTCGGTAAGAATAATTTGTTAAAACACTTTGAACACCTGGCACATGACTGTTTGGTAATGACGCATAAACAAATGCTAATGATATCCTATGAAAAACGGACCATGGACTGTTTCAGCAGATATTCCTCATGATTATGAAATGGGTCTTGTTGCGTATATATGAGTATAAGGGGCAGTGTGTTCCGTGTTTGATTCATAAAAACAAACAAACAGATATTGTAGAGCAATCAAAATCATATTTTGCGCTTTTCAGACTTTCTTTTCTTTTCTTCAATTGTCTTACCCGCAGCAAAAGCCAGAACAAACGATATGGTTTTAAACAACATTTGGTCTGTCTTGAAAAACAGGTAGATGATGATGAGAGCCAGAGATCCCAGGCCTAGCAGGAATCCCAGAATCACCAGAGCCTTGGTAGCAGTCTGCCAGTCCGCTGAAACATCAGTGGTAGCTGATATATTATCTACATGTACAATTGCCTTAGCTATGCAAGGATTACACGAAACTATAGTGTGACTTTAAGATTTAAGTAAAGTATTCACATGGATCACTAATTGTGGTTGAGAGCGGTGTGGACGATGCTTCCATTTATTGGAGAACTGCAGTTACCTTCCAATATTCAATCCCATTCATTCACATAACAGTTTCAATCTATTGCAATGATATACCCGACGAAAGCCACTGTACAAATGTTTCTTTCATGGCAGTGATTTTGGTGTTTGGGATGAAGAAGCTATTGTAGTTCAGTGCAAAGACTGCTCTGCGCTCACCTTTTCACGAACACTTAGCCTTGGTATCATCACTATCTGGTAATGAGTCAAAAACTCATGAAATGCTCATTAAACAGACGGGTGTCTTATGTATACTCTAGGAGTGATGGCTTGGATCGATCAATGTTAATGTGTTTGTCCTCTTTGAAACCTCTTTGCAGGGGCAGCTTTTTGAGTGTGTGTGTGCGTGTGTGAGTGCGTGCGTGCGTGCGTGCGCACTTAATTTTCACCCGTTTTCGCGAGCGTTTCAGGACAAAAGGAGGGGGTGGGGGCTGCGCACCTCTGGATCCGCCTATGCTTTGCTGAATACTACTTGGCAGTGCAACAACACAGGATTTCATATCAAATTTTATTATCAAATTCCAATTATGTAGCAGTACATAACGCTTCTATCACCCAACTGTACATATACTGAACCACCTTCCCAGCGAAGTGTTTATCATTTTTAAAGATAATTATTTAAAAATTATCAACAAAATGCCTCCTTCTAAAGTGCCAACGAATCCACGCGCAAATGTAAACATAGAATATCACTTCCTGCATACCAGAACATTGTTGCGGCCAAACACAGAGAGCGCAGACATGTTTGAGAAACCAGCAGTTTTTATCACGAATTTTCCTGTTTTGACAAGTACCATATGTTTCGTACTATTCAGGTGAATGTGTTACCTTTGCCAGCAGTCGGACAGATTTATTTTAAAGGGGATTATGTTACCTTGTTAGAAGTTGAACAATGCAAACGGAAGCGATAAACTTTTGTGGGAGTATATAACGATCTGATGATAGGAACAGACATAGTTAACAGTATACTGGACTCAGGATGTCTGTTTAATATACCTCTGCAGAAGAATAATTTACTCTTTTCATTAGTTTTGACAGTTGGTGTTTACACCTTTGAGGTAAAATCGAACATCTTAGTTCTAAAATGTCAAAGAGCGTCATACGACGCTTGCTCTGACTTGCACCATAGGTTTACCATATTTTTCAGATGTACAACTAACTAGACTTTTCTCATGTTTATGACGGGTGCCACCGGTGGGGCAGGATACGCCCACTTTTTCTCGAATACTGGGTATCATCACTATTTGACAGTGATTATAAACACTTGCTCTGTCATCGTATCTAATGTGCATCACTAGATTGTCTGGTCCAGGATTATTTACGTGCCGCCGTCATACAGTAATATAGAATGCAACATTAAACAAATAAACAAACACATTCTCATAATTGGAATTGTACAAATAACTCTGTTTTTTAGCGGTGATTTTTGACGGATGTGGAAAGGATTGTGTCCCTTCTCTGTGCTCTGATCATCCACCTGTGTACTTATGGCAGATATTATTAGATACTAATGCTTTGTGGGATGTCTGTTATCTTCAACCTGATTTGGGATGTACACTTTGTATTTAAACATGGATGTGGAACTGTAGGTGCTGTGGTTAGTTTGGACAGATAATTAGAGCCTGACGTTAAGGGAAAGGAAAAGCTGTATTATTTTCTGACTATTCACAGCAAAAATAACTTCGTTTCCATTTTTGCGGAAACCTAATGGATACTGGGTAATGTACGTTTCCGCTAGGTTTCAGCATCCGGAAACAGACAATGTGAGTTTCCGCGTAGTTTACAAAACTGAAACTAACAAATCTAGGTTTCCGTCTGATTTCTACAACTGAAACTGTCATTATGAGTTTCCATTTAGTTTCAGGTCGCTGAAAGATTCATAGCAAAATGACTTAATTTCCGTTGTTGCGGAAACCTATTGGATACTGGGTAATGTAGGTTTCAGCTAGGTTTCTGTACCCGGAAACTAACAATTCTGTTGATTTCAGCTTAGATGAAATGGCAAACTTAGCTTTGTGTTGTTCCATTGGGGGCTATATTAATTTACTGTTACACTTGTAAAATAATTTCTATATACAGTATCCAGCTTGGGTCCATGCAGGGAGGAAAAGCAATAGCCCATTTTTATACTGTACTGTTAAAGTGTTTATGGTTATATGTTTTTAGTGTACATTTGTGATAGACTTAGTTATTTTACTGTCTTTCGAAGCGACTGGAAACTACCGGAAACCAACAAAGTTAGTTTCCAGAAACGGAAATTTAAAGTAAAGTATCATTGGTAGTTTCCATTGCATAAAGCAGCTGGAAACCATCATTGATGGGAACGTCAATGAAACGAACGAACGAAATTACTCCATATATACCAGTATATACAGCATATAACCGACATTAACCTACGCTAAACTGTCTATGTATTCCATGTATATAAGTTTCAGTTTAGTGATCTCAGTGTTTTTGTACACCAGAATTCAAATAAAAGATACTGTCACATGAAAGAAGAATAATTTCAGGAAAAGTTAAACCATATTACGGAAACTTAAGATTCTACTTTGTCTCCTTAACGATTTGTTAGGTACACTCACAGATGCCTTAAACTTTTAAATTACTGAAGAACCGGTAAGGCTCCATTAGGTTTCAGGTACCCATTGGCTTTTCATTTGTTTTTCTCAAAGTGATACATACTAACACAACTAACTGGGAGTGGTTATGCACATTACACATATCTGTACTAAAAAGGACAATTATTTCGTAAATGTCCAATAAAGAACATAATACAGGCTTCAACAAATTACACAGTAGACTTATAGATATAAAATATGTTTAAGTTTAACGTCATCTGCCAGTGGTGAAAAATGTTGGGATTGAAAGAAAATGAAGTCAATGAACGTTTTGCCTTTTAATTATAGCATTATCATTATTGATCCATTATCATATTTATAAGCACTTTGGAACCTCATAAATTTATTAAATGGCTTTCTAGATATGTCATAGAGTACCTAAAATATAAGGGAATCAGTTTACGACCTGAAAAACTAAGAGATCTTGTTGGGTACGCCCTGGATTGTCAGAAGAGGAGAGGTGGGGCTTATAACTCACATGAACAATGTTGTTTGTGGAATAATTTTGTTGAATGCTACAAGAAAAATGAAAACAAAATACAGATATCAAACTTAAAACCAACTAACGTTATAACAAAACTAATGGGCTATTACCTTGTTCGAGAAAAGTATCCATCAGTATCCACATAATGGAACGATATGCCATTCATCGGCAGCTGCCCCAAAAACTGTTCCATGTCACGTGACCGGGTTTCACTGGACACCAAAGATAATACACCTGACAAGTTTTACATAATGTCACAATTCTTTAAAAACGGTGCATGTTGTTTTAAGGGATTAGCTTTCTGAAATACCTAGCGAAATAGGTGACACGAACTCACCCCTTGTTCACTTACATGATGAAAATCAATGAAATTGAACTCACTTAGCTTGTTTTGATTGATATGAGTAAGCACCAACTCATCAATTTTGGTACATAATATGCTGGCCATACTGGTCATCACTTTTATTATGGCAAAACAGCAGTTACATGTGTAAAGTAAAAGTTCATTCCGACTTCACGAGGCTGTATGTATGGATGGTACATCTTGGATGTCCTGGGTATGTTGTAGAGTCTCAGCTGTCTCCACTGTCGATGATATAGTCACCAAACATCCTGACATACGTAACCACGAACGTGTCAACAATGATATAAAGGTATAATTTATAAATATCCGCTGTGACAATGAATACAACATGTAAGATAAATATATTTTACAATACCACTGATGATTTGTCAACAGGAAGAATAAATGTACTTGCGTTCGCAGAAACAGTTTCATACTTAATGAAACTGCAGTGTAGACTGGATGTGTACTATGTACATGTATTATGAAGTTGTTTTATCATTATGATGATTAAAATAATTTGTCCCAAGATGTCATTTTAATGGATTTTATTGTTGTTGCCATGTCATGAATATGTAAAATATTATCTAACATCTGGTATTTTCTACGGATATCACTTCGTTGTACAATTTATTTTGTTTTCAACTTGGGAATTTAGTGTTACCTGCATGCCTATCATCACAGATTATGTCCATTGTTCTCCAAGTGCGGTCAACCTGAAAATCCCTGTGTGTCGCCCATATTGTTGTTACAAACATCACAAATACTAAAGCTTTTCAGTATACGTTAGTAACTCTACAAACATAAAGACTATCTTTTGACGGGCCCTTTTGACAAAGACGTCGTGCAAGATGAAAGTAATAAATCAATTAGCGTGTTATCGGTTAATCCTTTCATCTGTGTTTGTTTTTTTAACTCAGCTGATAATTCCTTTTGCTGCTCCTGCATGCATATATTACATAACATGTAGTTCACTAGATGACCATCAAGTGAATGATGACAAATAAACGGGTAAAATCGTTGTATTGCATGCAATATTAATTGCCTACAGAATCTTAGGGAACTACGCTGTGTGGTTTTAAAATAATAGGTCATCAACCATCACATTGTTCTTGATATGATTAAATATCAGGTAATAGACAGAAATACACAGAAATAGGATCAAATTGGATCGGTCATATACGATCAACGCATCGGAAAATCTGAAAAAAAGCTTATACTGACTGCTGGAGTACTTTATTACGGGAAATACATCCACTGTTCTTATTGTTTCATTCTTTAGGTTGAGGAAATTCTGCCATGGTTGACAGCTGCCCAGTCCCTGGGTCCGTCACGGTCGAGGTAGCATGTGCTGCAGTCAGACCACATACTAAAATT